CCTCCATTAACGCTACTCCAGCTAACATTAACCTGGCAGGTCAGTGCAGGCCTTTCCTGGTGGAACTGGGGTACAAAGTCCTCCAGGCTCTTTGTCTAACACAATGGTCCTTCTTGCAGACCTGACCCGTGCAGTGAACGCCCTCCCACAGAACATGACCTCCCAGATGTTCAGTGCCATCGCTGCCGTGACAGGCCAGGGGCAGAACCCAAATGCCACCCCTGCACAGTGGGCATCCAGTCAGTACGGCTACGGGGGCAGCGGAGGTGGCAGCAGCGCGTACCATGTAGGTGTCACTTCTAAGCCTTGGGGACAAGGTGCTGCGTGGCTGCTTCTCACCACTACAAACCATCCCATGGGAATTCTTTGTGGTGCTAGGGGTTGCTCGTTGCCAGAGATCTGCTACAGAGGGGAGCTTGAGAGGGTTCTTGGACCAGATTTCTTCTTGCCTCCCTCCCGTGGCTGAGCAAATGAGGCGCGTAACCCCGTCCTGCTCTGGGGAGAGCTGAAACAAATAGCAAACTGGCCAGGCCCCCAAGGAATGCAGCAGGGTAGAGAGAAGGGATCCAGCGGTGAAGGCACACAACCTTGTGATTGTGCCCCTGAATCGCCAACGTGAGCTGCCAGAGGAAGAGATTAGCTGTGAAACTATGCGCTGAGTTTGCAGGGCTTTTCAGCTCAGCGTGCTAATCTCCGAGCCGCACCGGCAGGCGAACACCTCAGCCTGACCGAATACCCAGGGGCTTTGCAGGGAGTTGAACAGTTTCAGCTCGTGCTGAAGCCTTTCCTCACGCACGCTGGTGCCTGCCTCCCCCCGGCACGCGCTGCCAGCTCCCTGGCTGACCCTGAGGCTAAATCCAGCTGCGGAAGGACTGAGTTGTCTGGGTACAAGAAACACGCCCTGCCATCAGAGCTGATGAAGAGGTGCTGCAAGACGAGGCTTGCAGGGAGGAGTGATTCTCTTTTGGACCACCTTGGGAGGCTTTCATGGAGTTTTGCAAAACAAGTGTTGAGCTGGGGATAGGCAGGGACTGTGGATAACCCAATGTGTTAAGCACTGAGACAACCTGAAGGAAAAAGGAGATGAATAGGGCAGAAAAATAGGGGCAAATTCATCTGTTCTTCATGTCCACTGTAGGATGTTGTTTCTGTATCTCTTGCACCCACCTCTCTTGTGGTCCTTACCTTTGTTTGCTTTCAACATCTCCCCTTGTACCCTGTGTGGGATGAACAAGGAAGGGTGCCTATTTTACGACTGGGAGCTCTGGGGGGGAAAGAAGCAGGCCCCAGAAATGTCTCATGCTCAGGAGGGTGCTGCTCCTCCTGCCCTGCAGCCCCCAATTCCCTAGGCTGTGATCTGTGAACCTCTCGTTGCTCAGATGAGAGGCTCCAGCAGGCCTGGGAGCGTGCAGCAAGGACGTGCACCAACCTCCTGCCAGCAGGGCAGTGCTGAGCACGCCAAACTTTTGCCTTGCAGGGTTTACCCTCTGTCCTCTAACCGTCTCTGCTTTCTGCAGGTCTTCACGACTCCAGCACAGCAACCAGTGGCCACCCCTCTGATGACCCCCAGTTACTCCTACACTACCCCCAGCCAGCCGATCACGACCCCCCAGTACCAGCTGCAGGCCAACACCACCCCCCAGTCCACCCAGTCCCAGACACAGTCGCAGCCATCGTCCAGCTCCAGGCAGAGGCAGCAGCCAAAGTGAGTGTCACCGGGTGTCACCTGTGTCACCTGCTGGTTGCTTTTGTGGATTCCCACGGAAGCAGCACGGTGGGGTTGTCTCAAATCCTCCCGCGTGGGATTTTTTGGGGAGGGAGGGCAGGGAAAGCTACTCTGGGTTTACTTTCTGGTACATCCCACCTCCTGCCTCTGTCGTTACAGGACCAACAGCCACGCTGCGATCGACTGGGGGAAGATGGCCGAGCAGTGGCTGCAGGAGAAGGAGGCTGAACGGAGGAAACAGAAGCAGAGGTTGACTCCTCGCCCGTCCCCCAGCCCCATGATCGAGAGCACGCCCATGTCCATCGCCGGGGACGCCACACCGCTGCTCGATGAGATGGACCGATAAGGCTGTGCGGGGCCTGCGCCGTGACCTCCGCTCCCTTCTCTCGGAAAGGGGAGAGCGAACAGTTGAAAACAGCTTCCCTTCCCTTAGCCACCTAACTCCTGTTTTATACGTCATGCGATGGTGGGAAACGACTCTTGGTGATGTGCACCTGAGCGGACGAATAGACTTGGCAGGGCTGGTCTAAATATATATATACTATATATATATATAAATATATCATAGGAAAGGACAACTGCAGTGGCCTCTGTGTTCCAGGTCCCTGGTTTACCGCTTGGAAACTCGGCAGAGCAGTTACAAGGTCAAATGAGTCCATCCTTTTAGGCGCACAGCAGTCTGCTTTCACAGCGAAGACCAGGAAGCAAACGTAGCTGAAACTGCAGACTGCTGGCGTGGAGTGAGCCTGTTTTCTTTGGATTCTCCCAAACCCTGACTGTCGGCTCTCCTCGCCCAAAGAGCGCGAAGCAAAGTCACTGGGGTTGTGACGAGCTAACCAGAGTTCTCAAAAGGTTTCTGTTGTTTGTTCGCTCCGTGGTTTCACGTGTAACAGGCTCTGCAAAGTCTGTGCCAACCCCCAGGCGTGCTCATAGGGGTCTCACACAGCAGCTCTGGGGGTAGGGGTGTTGCCAGAGCGAAATGCAGCTGTTGTACCAAAAGCTTGCCCTCCTCTGGCTTCTTTTGGATCAATATTTATTTAGTTTTTTGGGGGTTTTGTTTTTGTTTTGTTTTTTTTTAAATCAGACTGCGAAGCGAAACCCCAGGCACCGGCAGCTTTCCCAAGCTTGGGCCAGACCCACGGGCTGAAACGCCGCGAGAGCAGCCGCTCGGATGGTGGAGGGGACGTAAAGCAGCTGAGTGCATGGCATCCTCCTCCGCCTCTGCTTAACCCTGCCCACTTGTAACCAAAAGGGGTGAATAAATAGTGTTTCTACTGAACACTTCAAGAAGTTTTCTGTCTGCACCCCACGCTGCCTGCCCGCCCTCTCCTCTTAGCCCTGGGTTGGTCGCAGGAGCAGAGTTCAGCGTGGAAAGCTGCTGCTCCTCCTTCCTTTTGCTGCTTGGAGTTGCCTTCTGTGTGCCGAAACTTTCACGGAGAAGCTGATTTCTGTTGAGCTGATATATAAAAAAAAAAAGTTTTGTTTTGAATGCATTGTACAGAGACATCACGCACACGGACCGGCACCTCGCGAGGCCCGCACGTCTCTCACTGGCTGGGAGAGGTACCGGGGGTCCTGGGAGGGGGCAGATGCTGCGGATAACTCCTGTTATAACGTCTGTCACGTCAGGAACTGCCAGTGCTGAGAGGCATTTCTGAACTGGAAAGTTTCTCTGCACACACTTTCCCCTCTCCTCCTTTGTTCCCTAGGGCTTTTCTATGGAAGCAGGGTCTTTGTTCCTCCGAGTGCTCCTGGTTAGCCTCCTCTTCGCTAGGAAATGAGCAAGAACAGCAACTCCTGAGAAACAAAGGTCTTTTTTGCATGTAAATGCTCCTGAAGAATGGCAGCCACGCAGGAGAACAAAGCAAAGCCCTTTTCCAGGGAGAAATGCAGGTCCTGGCTTCCACACCACCTCCTCTGCAGTGCTGGGGGCTGGCGCAGCCGTGTCCCTCCTGCAGCTGCAGGCCGGGATGGGGCCGTGGGTTGCAGCTGTACTAACCCTGTGCTATTTTTTTATTTTACGAAATGCTACGATGGGAATTGGATCGGGGGGGAGCAGCTCTTTACCCAAGGATGTCTCTGACCCGTACCGGGGGGGCTAGTTGTGCATTGTCGGCTCCTTTTCAGCTTTGTTTTTAGTTTCCCCGTACCGTCAATAAAAATTCTACTTTTGGGAAGCTGCCCGTGAGCTGTCTGTGTTCAGCACTGATGCTGCTCTTGCCCCAAGAGCTTTGCACCCTGTGAGTGGTGCTGCTCCAGGGCATGATGACTTGGTGCAGCCCCAGCCTTTCCTCCTTGGGGCTCATTTCAGGGACGTGGGATCTCATCCACACCTCAGGCACCTCTCCGGGAGCAGCAGGGAGTTGTGTGGGGCAGCGCTGCCCTCCTGCTGGCCTCGTGTCCCATCCCTGAGCACTGCCCCCGATTCGGGCACCCCGTTATCCATCAGGGGAATGAGTTGGGCTGCCCAAGCAACCTCTGATTGCTGCCTGTGCCTCTGCCTTTGTCCTGGGGCTGGAAAAGCTTCTATTGTCCCACACCCCAGAGCTCCTGCGGTGTGTGAAGCCTCCGGGGAAGGACGGGGCCCCTCTCCTCCCCAAGCAGCCCACCCCGGCTCCAGCTCCCCGTGCAGCCATGCTGCGAGCTGGGCACTGCTTTGCCTCCTTCTTGGGGCTGTAAAAGTGGCATTGGCTGCACTGAGCGCGTCTGCCCCTGGCCCCTGTGTTGTGTTTTGGGATGGGACAGAGGCTGCTCAGCTCCCGGAGGCAGGGTCTGAGTGTGCGGGGGGTGAGCTGCTGGTGGGGCTGCAAAAGGAGCTGCTGGGGCTGAGCACCTCGCTCCCAGCTTGGGAAAAAGGGGGGCAGAGCTGGGGGGCTGCAGTTTGGTCATTGCTGCTCCGGGGAAATAACTCCCCAGGGAGCTGGAGCTCAGCCAGCTGGAGCAGGGACCCCAAACCCGTGCCCTGTGCCGGAGTGGGGACAGGAGCTGGGCTCTTCCCTCCCCAGGGAGGTGACTTTGCCATCCTCAGGAGCATGAAATGAGCCTCCATGAATACCGGGGAGTACCTCAAGCCCCTTCAGACCTTTTCCTTTTGGCCCAACCCTTCAAACCCTCGGGTTTTCCCTTTCTCAGGGGTTGTGCACCAGGACCAGCCGAGTCCCTGCAGGCCGGTCAGGCAGCAAGACCCCCGTCCCCCTTCCCCATCCCATCAGCAGCCTTAACCCAAGGCTTTTCCCCTCGGCGTGCTCCTTCCTCCCCGCTCCACACGGCTCCATCTGCTCGACGCCCTACTTTATTAACACAGCGAGGACCCGCGCGGGGAGCCGGGGCTCACGCAGCCTCCAGTTCAGCTTTGCCTTTCAGCCTCTTCTTTCTGTTCCTCTCCTTCCTCCTCCTCCTCTTCCTGCTGCCCCCAGCCGCTTCCCCCAGCTCCGGCAGCGGGTCCTGCGCCCCCGAACCCGGCTGGGCACCGGGGGGAGCGTGGGCGCCGTGCGCATCGTGGCTCAGCTCCCCAAATTCGCCAGGGCTCTTCTTCTTCAGCCCCTTCCCCTTCTTTTTCTTATCCTTCATCCCTTTCCTCTCTTTGGCGGCGGGCAGCAGGCGGGCATGGCGCTGCGCTGGGACCTCTCCTCCTCCCCAAGGGGGGCTCAGGGCATCGTCCCCCCCCGGCCACGCCGCCCTGTCGATGAGCTCCCCGCCGAATTCGTACAGCACCGGCTCCCTGGGCACCGCCACGGCCACCGTGTTGTACGCCCTGCACCTGCGGGGAGCGGGGACGGCACGGGGTCAGGGGTGGGTGCAGGACCCAGCAGGGGGGCCGGATGCATGGATGGGGGGGGACACACTCACCAGACGTAGAGGTAGGGCTCCACGCACTCCTCCTTGTAGGCGAACTCGAAGCAGGGCACCCGGATGACGTTGAAGAAAGCCTGGCCCACCACGCGCGAGGCCGTGTCGTTCACCTGCTGCAGGCACTCCTTCAACCTGCGGGACGGCACCGGGGTCACGGAGAGACCGGGACCCCTCCCCAAATATACACACACACAGCCCCGGGGACCTGGGGGGGCTCACCTGCGGTCACAGTCGCAGTGGCTGATGGTGTGCCAGCGCAGGTTGCGGTAGCCGTAGCGGGAGGTGAAGGGGTGGATGACGTGCTGGCAGTGGTCATGGTCCCGGCAGCACCGGTCGGTGTCCCGGTGCTCCCCTGTGGGGTGCAGGAAGGGCCGGGGGCTGGGTGGGGTTGGGATCGGGGTTGGGGTGAGGATTGGGGTGGGAATTGGGAGGGACGGGGCTGGGATGAGGATGGGGATTGGGGCTGGGCCAGCACTGCAGTGGGGGTGAGACTGGGACAAGGATGGGCTGGGTTGGACTGGGACCAGTCTGGGGATGAGGATGGGATGAGCACTGGGATGGGGATCAGGGGAAGGACTGGGTATGGACCGCGTTGGACCAGCACTGGGGCAGGGACTGGACCAGCACCTGGGGACCAGAATGGGAGCGGGATGGACTGGGATCATGGCACCAGGATAGGGACTGGGATGGAGCAGCCCTGTAATGGGGCAAACTGGTGGACCGGGACCAGCACCGGGATGGGGACAGATGATCCGAGGGATGGGGACAGGCTCCTTCTCTCCTTACCCAGCTGCTCGTAGGCATCCGCGTTGCTCCCAGCTCCGCACCACAGCGTCCCCGGGTAGGTGAGCCCACGGCGAGCTCGGGGCCGCCCCGGGGGGGCCGCTCCGGGGCTCGGGGCTGCTCCGGGGGCGACCACCACCAGCAGCAGGAGGAGGAGGAGGAGGAGGCGGAGGAGCGGCCGCGGGGCGCACATGGCACCGCGGGGACAGCAGCGCGGAGGGGCCGCCTTATAGCGGGGCTCGGCACGGCACGGCCCGCCCACCGCGGGGCGGCACGGCTCGGATCGGCACGGCACGGCAAGGGTCGGATCGGCACGGCTCGGCTTGGCATGGCATGGGGAAGGTCGGGATGGCATTGCTTGGCACAGCTTGGTGTGGCATGGCTTGGCTTGGCATGGCACGACATGGCATGGTGCTGCTTGGCATGGCATTGCTTGGCACAGCTTGGCATGGCACGGCATGGCACAGCATGACGTGGCACAGCTCGGCATGGCACAGTTTGGCATGGCATGGCATGGCGGAGCTCAATATGGCATTGCCTGGCACAGCATGGCACAGTATGGCAGAGCACAGCTTGGCATGGCACGGCTCAGATCAACAGGGCTCAGCACAGCATGGTATGGCAAGGTGCAGCTTGGCACGGCATTGCTTGGCACAGCATGGCACGGCACGGCATGGTGTGGCATGGTGTGGCATGGTGCGACTCGGCATGGCAGTGCTTGGCACAGCTCAGCATGGCACAGCATTGCATGCCCCAGTTGGCACGGCACAGCTGGGCTCCACGTGGTGCAGCCTGTGCCAGCACAGCCAGTGGGGGGATGCTCTGGTCCTAACTCACAAGGTGCCAGCCCTCGCAGCCCCAGCCACGCTCCCCCATAGCCACAACGGACACGAGGAGCAGCAGCACCCAGCGGGGCCGTGCCGTGGGCAGGACGCAGACGGGGACAATGCAGCCCCCAGCTGAATGGAGCTTTTCCTGGGGTCTGTGCTCAGCCAGGGCTGGCAGCTCCCAACAAAGCTGCCAAGGGCTCGTCACCCCTCGCAGGCTCCCCTTTGCCAAAGCCCATTTGCAGTCAGGACGCGGAGCCTGGCCGGTGCAGCCAGCGCTTGACAGGGCAGGACGGTGCCCAAAGCCCCAGCGGGGACGTGCATGGCCTCAAGCAGCCCAAAGACCCCAAAAAGCTGCACCCTGAGCACGGCTCTGCCGTTTCCAAACCTCACACTCGCGGGATGCTTTGCACACCCTGCCCTGGCACCTCTGGGTGCTGGGGACACGCTCGCAGGGGTGTGACCCCCCCGGTGCTCCCCTTGGGGGCACGTCACCGCCACGGCTCCTGCCTGGCACCGGCCCAGGTCCCCGCTGGCCGAGGGTGCTGGCAGGGGGCCCGGCACTGCGGGGCTGCCCCTGCTCAGCTGTCGCTGTCCGTGACCGTTCTGGGTCCCCGTGACAGTCCCGCTCCGCTCGGCCTCACCGCCGGCACCCAGGTACGGAGCCCGGCGCAGGGCTGTGGGGTGTGCACAGGGAAATTGGGGTGAGTTGGGGGAAATTGAGGTGTGTATGGGGAAATTGGGGTGTGCATGGAGAAGTTGGGGTGTGCACGGGGAAGCTGGGGTGCCCCGAGCCATGGGGAGCCCTGCAGTGTGTGGGTCTCACCCCCTTGCACACCCGCAGCCCCCCCGTGCTCACAGCGCTGCGGTCCCCGCGCATGGACCTGAGCCACGTCCCCGCCACCCGCGAGAAGGGCTGGTACCTGGCGCTGATGGCCCCCAACACCAAAGGTCCCAACTACGCCTGGCTGGACCCGTCCCGGCTCTACTGCCACCCGCAAGTACCCAGCGCCCGGGCAGGGGGCACCCAGGGGGGGTTGGCACCCGGGTGGGCTTTGGGTCCGGGGGTTTTGGGCACCCTTAGGGGCACCCAGCACCTCCGCTGTCTCCCCAGGCCTTGCAGGACTGCGTGGCCGACCTGCTGCAGCCCTTCCAGGGGGACCCCATCGACCTGGTGGCCGGCATCGATGCCATGGGCTTCATCCTGGGTGAGGGGGGATGCGGGCGAGCCCGGGGTCCCCAAACCTTGTCCCCGCGGGGGGCTGACAGCACCGTGGCCACCCCCAGGTGCCGCCGTGGCCACCGCGCTGCGCAAAGGCTTCCTGGCCATCCGTAAAGCCGGGCACCTCTGCGTGGAGACGCTGTCGGAGCCCTACACCGACTACTCAGGCCGGGAGAAGGTGATGGAGGTCCGCACCGACACCGTCTCGCCGGGTGAGCCCAGGGGGCACTCCCACCACGGGGGGGGCTGCCGGCGCAGGGCACCGGGCGCTTGGACGCAGCCTCTGCCCCTCCCCAGGTCTGCGCGTCCTCCTGGTGGACCAGTGGGTGGAAACCGGGGGCACCATGCAAGCGGCCATCCGGCTGGTGGAGCGGCTCGGGGGGGTCGTGGCAGGTAGGAGGGGGCACCCCGGGGTGCTCCCGGGGGGGTCACAGTGGGTGCTGAGCCCGCTGTGCGTCCCGCAGGCGTCGCAGCCGTCTGCATCGAGGACAGCGAGGGTGCGCGGTGGATCCGGGAGCGCTACAAGTGCGCCCACTGCGTGCCCCCCCGCCTGCAGCCACGCTTCGACCGCCACCAAACGGGCTGGGAATGATGCTGGGGCCGGCACCCTGCACCCCCAGTTTGGGGCATTTGCTGCCCGGTTTGGGTTTTGGCATAATCAAGAAATTAACAACTCCTCCTGCACCCTGCCGCTGGCTCTGCCTCCCACCCACCGTCCTGATGCCTTTTTTAAAAAGCATAAAAAACACATTTTATTAAAACAAATGGAAGGCTGGGGGCGTCTCCCCCGGAATGGGTTTGCATAGCTAAGGGGGCCGCGGGGGTCCCTGCCCAGCCCCGGCCCCAGGGACGGCTCCCCGGGGGGGCCGGGGCCGCTGCTCTTTGGTACGGAGACGCGGGCGTTACGGGGGGGCTGCGCTGGGGGGCTGCCCCCTCACTGGCAGCACTTGGGCTTCTTGCGGGGCGCCGACTGGTACAGGTCGCTCTGGTTGCTTGTGATGTCTGGAGGGAAAAAGGAGTGGGTGGGGGGCAGCGGGGGGCACCCAGGGGGGGCACCCAGGGGGGGGACAGCCGGGGGTACTCACGCACGGTGTCGCCGATCCTGCGGGCGCTGCCGCGCTCCAGCTCCGCCAGCACGCTGCTCTCGAAGGTCAGCGCCGCCACACGGAAGAAGAAATCCCGCACGTTCTCCCCTGCGCCACGGGATTAAGACCCCCTGAGCCCCTCGTCTCACCAAGGGGGGGGCCACCTGAACCCCCACCCCACAGCCGGGACCCACCGGTGAGCGAGGACACGGCCCAGAACTCCGCCTGCATCTCCTGGGCCACCTTGAGCGCGTCCTTCTCCATCAGGCTGTACTGCGCCGGCGTCTGCCGAAAAACGGGGGTGAGGGGGGGGGCTGGGGACGGCCCCCACGCAGCTGGGGGGGTCACGGGGAGGGGGACACACTCACGCTCAGGTCCTTCTTGGAGCCCACCAGGAAGAGGATGACGTTGGCGGGGTCGTTCTCCTTCAGGGCGTCAGCCAGCCACTGCCTGCGGGTGCCACCATCACCGGCCGAGCGCTGCCCGGGGTGGTGACAGCCCCGTGCCCCCAAATCCCCAAAAATGTCCCCAAATCCCCCCCCCAGCATGTCCCCGTCCTCTTTAGCCGGGTGTCACCTACCGCGTGTGCTCCAGGGACGCCACGTCGTTAACGTCGAAGACGATGACGATGGCTGGAGGGGGGGGGGAGAGGTGAGATGGGGACGGGGACGGTCAGCGGGGACGGGACACGGGGTTGGGGGGGGGGTCTCACCTTGTGCCCCCCGGTAGTAGGTGGAGGCGATGCACTTGAAGCGCTCCTGGCCGGCTGTGTCCCAGCTGGGGGGGGGGGCAGAGGGGGAAAGGAGGTCAGGGGGGGCAGCGGGAGCCTTTTGGGGGGCAGGGGGTGCCTTTGGGGGGGCAGGGGGTGCCTTTTGGGGGTCAGGGGGTGCTTTTTGGGGGGCGGGGGGCTGGCACCAACTCACAGCTGCAGGCTGAAGGGCACCCCCAGCACCTCGAAGCGCTCCATCTCGAAATCCACCCCAATGGTCGCCTTGTAGTTCTTGTCGAAGGTGTCCTTGCAGAAGCTTTTTGGGGGGTGGGGGGGAGCAGGAGATGAGCGTCAGACCCCCTGGGGGCGTGAGGGGGGTCTTCTCACTGTGCCCCCCCCCAAAAAAGTGCCCGTTACCGGTTGATCAGGCAGGTCTTCCCCACCGACAGGTCCCCCACCACGATGATTTTGGAGATCTTGAACCTGCGGGGCAGAGCAGAACACAGCCACTGCGGGGGGGGGCACAGCACTCAGTACCTCCCCCCTCCCCCCAACACCAGCCATTTTGGGAAGCCAAAATATCCCCATCCTCCCCATTCCCCCCCCGTTATCTCCCCCCAAAACCAGCAGCCACAACCCCAGCCCGGACCCCCGCGCCCCCCCCCCCGGCTGCATTCCTGTGCCGTGACGCATCCAGGCAGCGCCGGCAGCCACGCGGCGCCTTCCCAACGCAGGGACCCCCCCTAATTTTTTGGGGGGACACCCCCGAGCCCCCCCCTTCCTCATTTTTTATTTTTTGGGGGGGGTTCCTCACCCCACGGTGCCCGTCCGCTGCTCCTGGCAGGCGCTGGCCACGCTGGGGTGGAAGGCGTTGCGGGCGTGCAGGGCGGCCTCCTTCCGAAAACACTGCCACAGGGAAGGGGGGGGACACAAAATAGGGACCCCCAGTGAGGTCGTGGGGCTCACGGAGGCCACCCCAGGGCTGTTGTCCCCTCCCTGGTCACCTGCGGCAGGTCGGCGATGATCCTGTCCCTGCGGACGGGGGCCAGCACGTTCATGGTCCCCTGGGGCCAGCGGGGCGAGCGGGGATGGAGCGGGGACGGGGACGGGGACGGGGATGGGCTGAGGGCCACCGAGAGGCCTGGGGGGGACGGAGCAGGGGGTGGCGCTGTGGCTGTGTCCCCAAATTCTGCTGTCCCCATGTCCCCAAATCCTGATTGCCCCGTGTCCATGAGTTATCATGTCCCCAAGTCCCCAAGTCCTGATGTCCCCAAGTCCCGATGTCCCCATGTCCCCAAGCCCTGCTGTCCCCAACTCAACTCCTCCTCACCTCCCGCTGTCCCCACGTCCCCAAATCTCCCTCATCCCCCAACCCCTCGTGTCCCCATGTCCCTTTGTCCCCCACCTCATGTCCCCATCCCCCCCATCCCCAAATCCCATTGTCCCCCATCCCCCAGTCCCACCGTCCCCACATCCCGCCCGTCCCCCAGTCAGTCCCTCGTGTCCCCCAGTCCCCCACTCCCCCGTCCCCATGTCCCCACGTCCCCAAATCTCTCCTGTCCCCCCCCCATGTCCCCCTGCCCCCCCCATGTCCCCCTGTGTCCCCCCCATGCCCCCCCCCATGTCCCCCCCATCCCCCTTACCCCCCCTTACCCCCCCTTATCCCCTTCCCGTGCATCCTGGGCCATCCTCAGCCTCGTGTCCCCGTGTCCCCGGATCCCCCCCCCCACCCCGATGTCCCCCCCCAGTGTCCCCGGGGGGGTCCCGTTACCCCGCTCCCGCTGCTCGGCGCTGCACCCCCGCCCTCCTGGCCCCTCCCTCGGGCCTTTCCGTGGCGGGGAGGGGCCGGCACCGCGGGTCCTGCCGGCCCGGGCCCTGCAGCCTCCTCCCGCCCCCCCCCCGGGACCCCCGGGACCCCCCCCCCCGCGGGACCCCCCCCGGTGACAACGGGGAGGGGAGCGGGACTACAACCCCCATAATGCCCCGCGGGTACAGAACGATCTGCGCATGCGTCAGCGAGTCTCACCTCAAGGACTACGCTTCCCAGCACGCCTCGCGGCGAGAGGGAGGTGAGGAGATCTCGCGCGATTTGGGGCTATAAGCCCGTGCGGCGCGGGGCGGGAGACCCCTTTCGGCTTCCGGCGGCCCAAGATGGCGCCCAAGGCGAAGAAGGAGGGTGAGCGCGGCCGGCCGTGAGGGGCGGGCGGCTCCCGGGCGGTGCGATCGGCTCCCCGAGGGGTCTAGGGAGTGCCCGGGGCTCGGCCCCGGAGGTTTGCGGGGTTCCGGGGGGCCGCGGTGCGGTGCCGGGCTGCGGGCACGTGGAGGGGGTGGGAGCGGCCTGCAGCGGGAGGTCTGGGCCTGAGGGCTGAGGGGGGCTGAGGGGAGATGAGGGGGGGGGTGGGCCCCTCGGAGGGGCTCTGCCGGTGGGGGTGCCCCCCACGGCCCCTCGGGGAGCCTCCTGGGCCCGTAGATCCTTCAGTGTGCTGACCGTGGGGTTGTCACAGCCGTGCCTCCGAAGACAGAGGCGAAGGCCAAGGCGCTGAAGGCCAAGAAGGCCGTCCTGAAGGGGGTCCACAGCCACAAGAAGAAGAAGATCCGCACGTCGCCCACCTTCCGGAGGCCCAAAACCTTACGCCTGAGGCGGCAGCCCAAGTATCCGCGGAAGAGTGCCCCACGGAGAAATAAGTAGGTGTGGGGTGCGGCTGGCACAGCGTGTGTGGGGTGGGGACAGCCCCTTGTGTGGGAGCCTGGCCCCCTGTGTGGGTCTGAGGGTGGGACTTGGCCATTGTGCTGCTCTTGGGGCTCAGCCCTGTTCTGGTGGCAGCGTGTTTCGGGGTGCAGGTGATGATTTCAAGCGACCAAAGCCTGAGAGTTTGTGATTAAAACTTTTTTTGGTAACTGATGCACCCCAAACCTGGTGTTTGGAAGCTTCTGAAGCATAGGTACAGCTCCTGCCATCCTTTTGTTAACCCAGGGGCCTTTCTCCTGCAGGCTGGACCATTATGCCATTATCAAGTTCCCCTTGACAACAGAATCGGCGATGAAGAAGATAGAGGACAACAACACTCTGGTTTTCATCGTCGATGTCAAGGCAAACAAACACCAGATCAAGCAGGCTGTCAAGAAGCTGTACGACATCGACGTGGCCAAGGTCAACACGTTGATCAGGTGAGAGGGGGAGATCTGGTCACTGGTGGGTGTCTGGTACTTCAGGTGCTCAGCGTGGATTTTGACAAAGTTTGAACACGTGTGAGTTTCAGCAGTGCTGTGGGAGCTCTGAGGAGGCGTGGAATTAAGTTCTGTAGTGTTCTCAGTGCTAAAATGTTGATAAAAGCAATTTCTGACTGAGCACATCTTGGTGGAAGCATAAACTAGTGGCAGGCAGGAAGCTGGCTTTAGCAGGGAGCTCTTCTAAGGCTGAGGGAGTTCTGTGCAGATGATGTTAACATGTTTTATCCCTGAGCAAAATGATGTTTCCAAAGGAACCACTGATGCACATCTCGTAGTGGGAGGACAGAGTAGGTGCGAGGAGCGCATGCTGCTGTGCTGATCTCTCCTTTTCCACTCTAGGCCTGACGGGGAGAAAAAGGCTTACGTCCGACTGGCTCCAGATTACGATGCGCTGGATGTAGCCAACAAGGTGAGAAATCTTGGAAATCTGTCAAACTTCCATTTCTTATCTCATTTTCTACACCTGGCTGTTCTTCTGGTGAACACATGAGATGCTTGTGCTTGAAGCACGCTGGTGCTACTGCAGGATCTGAGAGTGTTTGTAAGCAGGAACACTTCCTGGTCATAAAATCCACCGAGTTCTGTGGGGAAGTTCCTGGGAGCTGCAGTTCTTTCCCCCCTCCAGGCAGGGGCTCCACTCACAGCTCTGCAGGAGCTGTGAAGGGTGGGAGAGGCGGCAGGAGGCGTGTCTGAAGTGCTGTTTGGCTCAACAGTGTTCTCAGCCAGCGCTGCGGGCAGCTCCCTCAGGGGAAAATGGTGCCAAAAGCACTGGGTGGAAGGGATTTCACTGCAGGTGGCCGTCCTGCTGGAAAGGGTTGGGGGTTTAGCCCTTGGTAGAGCTGTGGGGAGCAGCATGGGGATCCCGGTGGTGTGTAGAACCACGATGTGAGGCACCTGGGCGGGTGTGGGAGGAGGAAACCTGTCCTCGGAGAGCAGGAGGATGTGGGAGATGTGTGGTGGCGATGTCTGGCGGAGGCTCTGCCTCTTTGCCAGCTGTTTCAACCCCTTCTGCTTCTTTGCAGATTGGAATCATCTAAGCTGCATGGAGGACTGTACAGACGGGACAATAAACCCTGTGAAACCACCCAGGGGCTCCTGCTGTGTTTTGTGACCGTGTGGCCCACGCTGGAGAGCCTGCAGGAAACCGCTGGGGCTCCATTTTTAGCAAACGGGGTCCCTGCTTTCCTTTTCCTTCCTGCTTTAGGCTGGCAGCAGCCAGCTGCCCTGCGAGAGTCTCTCAGGGGGTGCTCTCCTGGTGCAGGTACCTGTGCACAGCACTGTGCTGCTATCCTGGTGCATTTTGTCACGCTGCTATTAGTAAATATTTGTGGTGATTCCCAGCACCCTACAGAACCCCCGTGGGGTGCACCACGAGCCCAGGAGGCTGCTGCTACCTGCAGCAAAACCAAATTCACAGCTCAGGTCTGCTGCAAGCTGGCTGCCGGGCCATTTCCCACCTCTTAAACTATTTGCTTAGGCTGCAGGCTCTGAAACCCTCAAGCTAACACAATAGCAGGCACTCTGTGTGTTTTTTTTTTTTTTTTTTTTTTCTGGCACCATCCACACTCCCCTTATTGCAGCGTGTGAGCTGGAGCCCGGTTGCCCTGTGGTTCCTACCCCTACCTCACCAGGGGCTGTTTTCAAGCCGGCTGCTGTTTGGGCAGCCCTGTTGCCACAACCTTTTGGATGAAAGCAGCTTTTTGGAGTGCTTGGAGAGCCCTAAGAACTCGGAGCACTCGGTGAGCAGGGACTGGAGGTGGAGTGCTGAGAGAGATAATTGGCGTTAAGTGCTGAGAGGCGCGGTGAAGGCGGTGGCCAAATATTGATCGGAGCAATTGAGCAGAGGCAGGGGGACAGCCAGTTCCCTTCCAGCCTCTTGCAGGGGGTCCTGAGGGGCAGCTCCCCTGATGGCTGCTGCCGTTTTGGGGCCGTGGGTCACGATTTTTCCCGTTTGAGCTGCTCTTGGCTCCAGATTCCCATCACGCGGTGCGAGGCTTCCGAGCTCCCCTGCTGTGGGGTGGCTCCGGGTACTGGGGGAGAGCCCCCAAACCCTTTGGGGTAGCTCTGAGCCTCCACCAACTGCAGGAATACTTCGTGAGGACAGCGTGGAGCTGCTGTAGGGTCTGGGGAGGATGGGAGGCCATGGGAGAGACCAGAGGCAACTTTTGGGCTGGGGGGGGGCGGGTGGTGACGCTCCCTTGGGTGAGAAACCTTGAGGGCTCAGCGCTGCTTCCCTCCATGCTGCTCCGTCACCCCTGGTGCAGGCCAGAAACTTCCCAACCCCTCAACTTCTTTAGGTCAGGGGCTCGAAACAGACAGCGGGGGCTGTTGGCAAGGTGTGTGGGGCCAGGGAAGGCTGAAGAGGGATCGAGGCAGCAGGGACCTGGGACAGACTCAGGACAAACCCAAGACAAACTTCTCCTGCAGCTGCACCTGATGCTCGTGAGGGCTCTGGAGCACTCCGAGAAGGGAACAAGCAGCAATAAGGGCTCTGAGGGTACCCACCAAGCCCCGTGCCCTGTTCTTATCCAAGCTGTGCCCACCCAAAAACGATTTGGGGTTGGAGGAGCTCCTCTCCTCGCCAAGCTCACCCCACAAGGAAAGCCCCAATGCGGAGCGAGGAACGGGTACAGGCTGCAGCCCTCCCCGGTGGCGTGGAGGCTGGGCTGGGAAGGGATTTCACATCAGCATGACTTGCAGTCTGCCCTCACCCTGCCTTCAACTTCTCCCGAGGGCTGCTGTAGGCTGGCACCTTCCCTCTGCCTGCCTCCTGCTCGGGGCTGGCAGCCGGCCCGCCGCTGCTGGTGGAAACTGGGAGGCAACTGGGGTGCCTGCTGGTGGAAACTGGGTGATGCCCGACCCCTCTGTGCTGCAGGAGGGCGGTGGGAGCACTGGGGGAGAGGTGATGGGAGGGAAAATGGGAGTTTGGGGATTCACCGCGTGGGGTACGGGCAGGTGGGGGTGGTGCTGAGGCTGGGGGGCTTCAGCTGCAGCGGGGGGGATGCGGTGGAAGTTGGGAGAGCTCCTGGGGGGGAGGCTGGGGCCTGCTGGGGCAGGAGGAGAGCCCGTGGGGAGCCTCGGGGGCTGCTGTGGGGCTGGAGCAGATCCCTGCCCACGCACAGCCCCGAGCACGGCGTCTCCATCTCATCTCCTGCCAACACCCGGCCCCCAGTGCCAGCTGCGGGGTCGGGGAGCCCTGGAAGGATCCAACCCCACAGCCGAGCCTCTTCCGCTCGATCCTCATTTGACCTCCAGTCTGCAGTTTTAGGATTGATCCCACCCCGGAGCAGGTTGTGGGCAGGAATCCCTCTAAGCCCCACTGCTGGTAGCCAGCCCGGGGTGATCCCGGCACTGTCCCAACATCACCATTTGCCTTCCCCACTGCTCCTGCACCCCACAGGACCGGCAGGGCCAGCTCCAGCCCCATGGGAGCTGCGCCCTGGCTCCGTGGGGAGGCTGCTGGAGGCAGCGGGGCTGGCGGAGGCAGCCCCAAGGGGATTGAGCAGGCAGCGATGTTCCAGGAAGAGCCGTGGCCTCGCTCGGCCTTCCCATGCCAGCTCGGCTTCACGTGGCTGCCGGGTGAGTCACGGCTCCACGCCGCCGGGCCCAGGAGGGTCAGGGACCGCAGGCGGGCTCAGCCCCTCTCCTGATGCCTTCACCCCATCCCTGCGAGGCCCTCGGGGTGCAGGAGCTCACCCACGAGGGAGCAGAAAGGAAAAACACGAGTGGAAGGCGAGGGAGAGCCGCAGCTTTGATTTTTCAGCACCGCTGGATGCGTCCCCGAGGGGGTCCCTGGCGTGGTGCTGGCTCCCTGCCCTCCCTGGGGAGCTGGGGCACATCCTTTCCCATGCCCTCAGCCCTCCTCCTCCCCCAAAAAATTAAAACCAATAAAAAGCCAGCCCAGGCACGCCGCGGCAGCAGTGAACAGACCCATTTAATGCACAGAGCACCCAGCACCACCGCGGGAGGGCCGCGGCCCTTCCCTCCCAGCCCTCTCCGGCCTCCCCTGGCCACGCTGGCGCCGAAGCAGGCTCGGGCTGCTCCTCCCCAGGATTTGCCCCCAGGCTTCGGGGACGTCCCCAGGGCTCGGTGGCATCCGCTCGGCTGTCGGGCTGGTCCAGCAGGGTAGCAGCGGCTTGCAGAGGGGGTGAACGCAGGGCCCGCGGCCACGGGGCGGGGAGCGAGCGAGCCCTAAGGCACATGAAGAGCAGGGTAGAGCCCGGCGGCGTTCTCAGTCTATGAGGAACTTCTCCCCGTCCACGTCCCTCCCCTGGCGCAGGGAAGGGCAGAAATCGGAGCGCAGGAGGCGGGAGAAGTACATGAGGATCATGGCGTCGAGCAGCAGCAGGTTGGCCGTCAGGAAGGCGCCCTGGCCCTGCACCTCCACGTGGCGGAGGAAATACCAGGTGAGGTAAGCCTGGGGGGCCAGGCGAAAGGCGAAATACATCACCAGGTTGACGTACTTGTTGGCCCGGTAGAGCGCCGGCGAAGGCACGTTGCTCATCTTGAGCAGCATGCGGGCGGTGAGGAAGATGTTGCTCACCTCCACCAGCAGCAGCAGCATCGCCGCCACCAGGAAGCGGCCGGTGATGATGAGCGAGACGAAGGCAGAGATGGCCTGGGGAGAAAGAAGGGGATGGGGATGGAGCAGCCCCCAGGTTGGGCACAGCCCTGCAGGGTGCGAGCTCTCCCCCACCACGCTCCGGGTGTATGGTGGGAGCACCCAGATCCCCTCCTGGAGACCTGGGGACCCCGCGGGCACCCGATCCGAGGGCGGATCTCAGCCCCCAATGCCAGCGCCCCCAGCACCACGCTGTGCCCCCGTGCCAGGGAGCAGCAGCCTGTCTGTGCTCCCGGCGCCAGGAGCCGCCTCTGGCAGCCGTCCTGCCCCGCCGGGCTCCCTCCTGGATGCACAACCTACCTGGCAGCCAGGGCTGCGGCTCGCCTCGCTGCACGGACCCCAGGAGCACAGCAGCCCCCCCCCCAAGGTGCCCCATCCCCTCCCCGTGCTCACCATGGCGTGGTGCACCAGGTACTCCCAGGACGAGCGGGACTGGTGGTTGAAGATGATGTCGAGGCTGTCGTGGATGAAGTAGCCTGTGGGATAAGCACACGGGGGGGGGTCAGGTTTGCATGCCGGCACCCCGCTGCGGGAAATGGGGTGCAGGAGGGGTTTGGGGTGCCCCGAGGAGGGCGGTGAGCCCATGCTTTGTGTAGGGAGCCCCGTGGTGGAGCTGTGCCATGGGGTGCTGGTGCCATGCAGGCG